TCTCTTTGCCATGGAAATGTCTCTTCTAAAAAGCCCCTCCTATGAAACAAATCTTCTGCCAAAAAATGATATATTCAGGGTAGCAGGGTATTGTTCTTCTATAGTCTCACTATTGGAACTTTTCAAGAAGTTCCACAATTTAGAAGCTAAATTGCTTAGTCACTTCACAGAACTAGTCTCAGTCCTGAGAATAGATGAGTCCAATTAAATAGTTGTGTCCAGTTCCTGAAGACAGGTGGTGGTGGTGGGGGTGGGTAATGGCTTTTATCTGATTCTCAAAGAGACTCTGAGACCCACGTGTGTATGCTGGGTGGCAGGGAGTTGAATCTTGGGAATCTCTTAGAATTTTGCCTACTCTATGGCATCAGGAGAGGGGAGGGCATCAGGAGTTTCTTAAGGGTAGTGACTTTGCAGACTCATCTCTGAGTCTCCAGGTTGGAAACCTTGGCTAATGCAAGATGAATTCACTTATCAATCTAGGAATGAGAGGTGAAGGTGCCCCACAGAAGGATCCTTCACAGTCTGAAGGGTTTACCAGGGTCTAACATTTTTATTTTACGCAATGAAGCTAGAGACAAAATGGTAAACCTGTGATACAGCCGTTCCATTTCTAGGTATATGCCCAAGAGCCACGAGAATGTACATTCGCACAGCAGCCCATACTGGAATGTTCACAGGGGCATGCTCATCATAGCAAACGTGTGGGAGCAACCCAAGCGTCCATCAATGAATGGATGGGTAAATAAAATCTGGTTTATCCATCGAGTGAAATATTATTCAGCAATAAAAGGAAATGAAGTGCTGATGTATGCTATAAATAAATGAACCTCAAAAGCATTACGCTAAGCGAGAGAAGCCAGACGCAAAGGAACATATATTGTCTGGTTCCATCTATGTGAAATGTCTAAAATATGCAAATCCATGCAGGGAAACTAGATGAGTGATTGCCCAGGGCTGGAAGGTGGTGGGGAAGATGGAGGGTGACGGTTGGCTGAGGGCTGTGCGCTGTCTTTCGAGCTAATGAAGATGTTCTAACATGGATCAGTTGACAACTGCACTATCCAGTGATTATGGTTGAAAATCATTGAGCGATGTACTTGCAGTGGGTGAATTTTATAGTATGTGGAGCGAGGGAGAGAGCCAGAGGGTCTCTGAAACAAGCACTTCTGATGTAGTCTGTTACTTAACGTCACAAAATTAACCAATAGAAAAGCTTGTCATGTTTATTTATCTGGGGAGAAGGGGGCAGGAGAGGTCTACCAAAGTTCAATTCTTATCTAGCAGAGAAAAACCCATGTAATGTTGACATATCCAGGAGCAAATCCTCATTGGGGACAAAAAAGCAAGTAAGAGAAGAAACAGCTGAAAAAAGAATTCTCTAATAAGGACCAGGACTTGAGGGGGACAGATGGCGAGAATTTTACTACAATCCCTTACTGCTGCCTCCAGCCAGTGAGGACCAGAGCCTGGGGTGGCCTGGCCATCTTGAACTCCAGGGGCTGACAAGCCTGCCTTGTTTCTGGATCTTCACAGGCGACTTCGCCCTTTGCAAGTGCCTGTTTCGGGCCCTCCCTGGTGGCGCAATGGGTTAAAGTGCACCGTTATGAAGCTGTCCCCAGCGGCCGGGGGAGGGGGGTGACCCACAGGGCGCAGCAGTGGACTTCAGTGGATCCGCCTGCATCTGCGGCGAATGCGCTCACACTCCCCACCTCTGGCCTGTACCCCAGTCCTTGCATGCACAAACAAATCTCTAAAAAAAAGTACATTTTGTTGTTTATTTTTAGTGCTTGCTTTTGGGGTAGGAACACCCTCCTCCCCTGCAAAGAACGGGAAGGAATGACAGGCACACAAGCCTTGGCACCTGCAGCGGGTCCTGCCTGCAGCCTGGTGATCCTGGCACACGCTTAGCTCTGAGCCTCAGTCTTCGCGTCTTTTAAATGGGGCTACTAACAGAACACAGACCGTAAGTCACCGTGCAAATCCCAGGCATCTTTAAGATTTAGCGCTCAGGACCTCACCCCTCCCCTGCACTGATAGTTTCTGGGTGAGTGGGTGCCAGGCCTCTCCTCTTGAGGCTGGTATTTCTTTGTTCCTACACCGGGGGTGTCAGAATGCTCCTCTGAACATCTTCCCCTCCAGGGGCATGGCCAGAATGAAGCAGATAGACCTATAGAAACGCCAGGGGACTGTGAGAAGCTAGGTGCTGACAGATACGGCTGCTCCAGGGAGGACACTGGGAAGGGGGAGGACACAGGATTTTCGGACTCCTGCCAGCACCCCCAAAGGAAGGAGCTGATGTTTCACAATGGTGTGTTGAGTTAAACATCTCTGAAGTTGACCTCTTGCAGACTAGCCCTGGCAAGCCCCCCAAGCAAGAAGGCACCTCTGTAGCTCAGGCTGACCCTGACCCCCCCAACCCCACCCCAAGATCTTGGGCATGACTAATTGGAGAGGCTCCGGTTGGTTCATCTAGAATCTGTGAACATTCTTCCCCTCTGCAAGGGTTCTGCAAGATTTCTAGCCAGCGAGGCGAGAAAACGGCCTAGCTGGGTTTCCGGCCCGGCCAAGCGGCTGTTAGGCTTTGCTAGCCTTTGCCTCGGGGCACAGTCCTGAAGTCCCTGCTGGCCCAGAGCAGGGCGGGACCTTTCTCCCAGCTGCCGGTGGGTCCGCCTTGAATCCACAACAGCAGTCAGCAGTCGCAAGCGTTCGGCAAGGTCACAGCCGGACAGAGACTTGAGCCCTAGCCCGAACGTCTCGACTTTCATCCATTTTCTACCTCAAGTCGCTCACCCGACCCCTGGCTACCCCTGGCTCCAGAAGGCACAGGTCCCTCTGCTCAGCATCGGTGTGTGGCCAGCCCAGCCCACTCCAGACAGACGCGAGCCGCGTTTCTGCCCAAGCTCTTCACTTTACTTTCTCTTCCCACTCCCGTCTCATCTTGGGGCCTCTAGCCTGTCTTCCCCTGCAGGTTTGAACTAGGGTGGACAGAGGGTCGGAGCAAAAATAATGTGTATTTGTTGGTGACATTCACAAAGCTTGCTCTCTGCAAATTTAACACAGTGAGGTTTTATTTTCAGGGAAGCTCGGCCCTTGCTCCTTGCAGGGGGGTGGGGAGGCCCGGGAGGTGGCGTTTCCCTGGGTTTGGGAAGGGGTGAGCTCCTGGGGTCCTTTCTGAAAGGCCCTCCCCTCGCTTCCGGCCGCGGCTCCCAGCCTTGGCTGGGCGCCTGGATCCTGTTGCTATGACGACAGGGAGAGGCGGTGGCGGCGGCGCGCGCTGCCGCGGGGAGACGGAGGCTAGTGGGGGTGGGGGTGGCGGCTTCGAAATGGGGGTGGGGGTAGGGGCGAGGGGCGGGGGGTGGGGGAGGCCGGCGAGCTGCACCTCTGCCCTGCTCAGTTCGCCCGAGCCTGCCCCTTCCCCCTGTTTCCCCAGCTGCCTTTGGTGCTGCCTCGGTCTCTCCTCGGGTCTCTCTCCATCTGTCTCCCTCTTTGGGTCTCTCTGCCTGCACCTGCCTCCTTCTCCGCCAGTTTCTGTTACTCAGACCTTTCTCCCCACAGTCTCTCCCCTGCCTAGAGCCTCCCTCGGGCTGCCGAGACCTTGCGTCCCTCTCTCTCCCGCTGCCGCTTCTCCCCCTCCAGTCTCTGCCTGTCTCTCCCATCTGTCTCTCCTCCCCCTCTTTGGATGGCGCTCTCCCCGTCTCTTCTTTCCTTCTGTCACCCAGATCCTGACCCCCCCCCGACCTCTCCCCCTCCTCTCCCCCAGTGTCTCCTGGTTTCTCTCTTCGGTCTCAGTCTGTCCCCTCTGTGTCGCCCCCTCGCTCCCCAACTTCCTCCAGCCACCAGCCGCTACCTCCCCCCCCTTTTCCCCTTCCCCGTTTCTGCTTCCCTGCCTCTGGGTCTTTCCGTTTCTCCTTGTATCTCTCCTCCCTCTCTGGGCTCTTTCTCTTTTCCCCCAGCATCCTTCTGCCACCCAGATCCTGCCCCCCAATCATTTCCCTCCCCCCATCCATCTCTTCTCCGTGGCTCCCCATCCTCAGCGGCTCCCCTCCCCCTCCCTCCCTCCTCCCTCCCTCTCTCGTCCTCCAGCTCCGCACTTTACCCAGCGACACGAGAACCAAATTGTCTCCTCACCTTTTTTTTTCACCCCGACCCCCACTCCCTTGGGGCCCGAGCTCAGAGCTGCCCCCAGCCTCCCCTCCTGCCTCAGCACCCCCATTTCCCACACGCCTCCTCATCTCCACCCCCCAACCAGGTCGGACGCCTGGGTCCCTCGGCTGGGGGAGGGGGAGCAGTGAACATTGGGAGCCACCAGGGCTTTTCTGGGGGGGGTGCCGACAGGGGGCTCCTCGCCCCCTTCCCAGCATCGGAGAGTTGACCTGTCGTTACCAGAGGTGAGACAGATCTTTTTATTAATCGGAGGTGGGTGGATGTAGAATTCAGGTTTTGTGACCCCCCTCGTGCTCGAGGAAGGAGCTGGTGCCCCTGGAGAGGGAGAGGGGACGGGGATCCCTCTTCTCTCCTTATCCGGAAGCTTCAGCGCCGGGGGTCCCCTGCTCCCTGCTCCTTTGCCGTTGCTGAGTGAAGGACTAGAGGAAGAGTCCCCAAAGACAATCAGAGAGCCCCCAAATCGGCGAAATGAACCGCTCTGCCCGTCTTTATAGATGGAGCGCTCCCCTCCGTCACCCCCCTTTCCAGCCCCCTCCCCCGTGGTAGAAGGCTCAGTAGGGGGAGGGGCTGGTCCTGGGGTCACAGGCTCACGGGGGGCGCGGGGGGGGGGGGAAGGAGTCCTCCGGGGAAGGGGAGGTGGTGGTGCGGCTGCTGGGGCCCGAGGAGGCCGCGAGAGCGAGGCAGGAAAGTCAGGCTCTGCGCGGTGGCAAGAGTGAGGGGTCAGCTCCGGGGGTAGGGGGGTCAACTCCGGCCGGACCCGGGCTGGGGGCGGCGTGGGGGCGCTGGAGTGGCAGTGGGGGCGGCCCCGCGGGGTGTCGGCCCCAGGCCTCGTTGCCATGGAGACACCCGACAACCTTTTCCCACGGCGCCTCCCGGGAGCTGACCCCGCGGGGCGGCTGGAGGGCGGGGGGAGAGGCCAAGGTCACCCTGGGCCCGGCCCAGGTTTCCCTCCCCTCCCCTCGGGCTTCCCGGCCCCTAGGTAGGGGCTGAGGAAGAGCGAAGGCGTGCAGGGGCTGTCCTTGGAAGGAGGGTCGGGCAGCCCAAGGCAGGGCTGGGGGCGTGGTGGTGGGGCCGTGGGAAAGGGGTGGGAATGGGCGCCGGGAGGGGCTCCCCGTGGAGCTGTCGCTGTCCTCGCGGCCGGACGGCCGGGGTCTCCCTGCCAGGCCCTGTCCGGGGGCACTTTCATTTGAATTTGGAGGAAAGTGGGGGCTAGGGTACATCTCTACCCAGCTGAAGTTGTAAGGGGGTGCTGGAGGTGTTCCCCAGGAGCCAAGTAGTGTGGGCCCACGAGGGGGGGTTCTCCGGAGTTAGAGACCCAGGAGCTGGCGTGGGTGGAGAGGGTGTGAAGGGGAGCCTTCCCGGGCCTGAGAGGTGGGAGGCGGTGGAGTGGGAGAGAGTGGGCGGTGGAAGTGAGTAGGGGACCAGACTTGGGGTGATCCGGTCTGATGAAGGTAGGGGTCTCCCGGAGGGGCTCTGGGGAAAGTGGGAGAGGGCAAGAGGGCAGGGGGATGGGGTGGGGACGTGGGCAGAGTGGGGGTTCCCTGGGACAGCAGGGAGGACAGGGCAGGATGGGCGATTTCTGAATGGAGAGGCAGTGGGGTCTGGAAGGAAGGAGTAGGAAACACCGCAGAGCTGATGGGGGAATTTTTTCTTAATGGAGGAGAAAGTGATGGTTATGATGAGTTTGTGGAAGTTGTAGAGATAGTGAGGCCAGTTTCGGGAGACTTTTTCTTAGCAAAGGAAAGGGGGGATTTTCTACAGTCAAAGGCTTGGCAGAACTGGGGGTTCAAGGGAGACACGGGGCTGTTGCTGAGCCTTGCTAGAGATGGCAGAGCCAACCCTGTGAGCCACTGGGTCTAACGTGTGGGTTGCCCCTTGGAATCTTCTGGGGAAAGTTTCCCAGCTCAGCTCAGGGTCACCCCCTTGAGGAAGGAAACCCAGAGTTCCCAGGTAGGATTCTCAGGGTTCAGTATCAGAAAGGTCCTCGGGCAGGGAGGCTGAGGGGGAGGGTGGTTGAGAACCTTCCATCCAGAGTGGGGGGTGGGGAGACGGGTCTCCCTTGCAGAGCAGCTGGGGTGGGGGCTGGTGGTGGTAACTGCCCTCTTGTTTTGCGTGATGCACTGAGGATTAGTTGGGAGAGACTGGGAAATTTATTTTTCCTCAATAGGGGATATTGTAGAGTAACAGAGAGGAAATTGCGGGAGAAAAGGGGGTGTGGGGGGAGATCCTGAATTGTGGAGATAGTTGGGGGAGAGAGACTAGGTTTTTCTGGGGGTCTGCTATCCTGCGCGGTGTCGGGGAAGGGGTCGGTGGGGAGCAGTGCGGGACGGTGGGGTCCTGTAAGAACAGAGGGCCTGGGCCTGGCCTTTGAGGCAGCGGAAGCCCCAGAGTGGACTGGTAGCGGGCCTGGGGGGCTGGGGCCGGCTGGGCGGGCCGGGGTGTCCTGCTGCAAGGGATGGCCCAGCATTTCTCCCAGTGGATTAAGTGGGAAGACTTTCCTGGCAGAAGATTTTTTTTCCAGAGAAAGGGAGGCAGCGGGAGCCAGAGTGGAGGCTTTCTCCACAGAGGAACAGCACGTGTGGCGGGGAGCTGGGAGGGAGGCGGTGGGGGGCTGGAGGTCGGGATGCCTGGAGGGCTGACCCTGGTTTCACTCCCTGCCTCCCACCAGCTGGCGACCATGGCCACGCTCTGACACCCCCCTCTCCACGCTGCCTCCTGCCGCCCCCTCCCCGCCCCTGAGGCCCAGGGCCCCGACTTCTGCCTGCGCTGTGACCCCCCCCAGCCGCCGGCACGGCCCCGCCCCCGCTGCCCCGGTGGTGGCCCACGGCCCCCCGGCTGCCCGTGGTCAAACTGGAGTCGCTGAAGCGCTGGAACGAAGAACGAGGCCTCTGGTGCGAAAAGGGGGTGCAGGTGCTGGTGACGACCGTGGGGGCCTTCGCCGCCTTCGGCCTCATGACCATCGCCATCAGCACGGACTACTGGCTGTACACGCGCGCCTTCATCTGCAACACCACCAACCTCACTGCCAGCGACGATGGGCCCCCCCACCGCGGGGGCAGCGCCCCCTCGGAGAAGAAGGACCCTGGCGGCCTCACCCACTCGGGTCTCTGGAGGATCTGCTGCCTGGAAGGTAGGGCCGCTGCCCGCACTCTCCTTGAGCACCCGGTCTCCCCAGTCTCCCCGAGCCAAGCTTCCTCCCCCCCACCCCACCGGTGGCCCGTGGCTTCCCATTCTCACTCCCAAACCGGCCTCAGTCAGCTACACTACTCTCTGGCCCTCTTCCGAAGCAGGCGAAGCAGCCTCCCGCCGGCCCACCCTCCATCTCTGCAAACCCTGAGCCGCTTGCCGGGCAGCCCCCATCTGAGTTTCCTTCATGCCTGGCTCCTGCCACTCCCGGGCCTGCTCCTTAGCCCCCCTGCACCAGGCTCCCCAGGCTCGGCCAGCCCTCAGCCCCTCAGCCCCTCAGCCCTCAGCCCTCAG